AAAAAAAAAAAAAAAAACCCAAAAAAAAAAAAAAAAAAAAAAAAAAAAAAAAAAAAAAAAAAAAAAAAGAAACAAGTCAGAAAGAGAAACGGGTATTGGAGGGCGGGGGGAAGACACGTTTTACAGTTCTTCTGGCGAGGAGATTCCCTGAAAGTACAAGGTTTCCATGTCCTAGGATGCCTTAAAGAGACAGGGAGGATTTCCCCTTTCCCTTTAAGTGGAGTCACTTCCTCGCAGGAGGCAGCGCTGCCTGTGCCGGCGGCGCCGCTGCCCCGCCAGCCCCGCTCGCTGTCCCTGCCACCCTCCCTGCTGCCACATCCCCGGCTCCGCTGCCCCAGCCCTGACCGGCGCGGCTGCTGGCTCGCAAGAAAGTTGCTTTGTCCTAAAGAAAACAAACAAACAAACAAACAAAAAAACCCCCCAAAAAACAACTGAGATTAACTCAGCCGTGCTTTTCCTTAACTTTCCCTAATCGCAGCTGCTCCGCTCGCTTGTGAGGAGGGAGACGCCGTTTGTGCGGGGGTGCCGGGGTGGGCAGGAGTGCCGGGCATGGGCTGGTCCCGTGTGCCTTCAGAGCAGTGATTTCATAGGTGAACCACATTATTCCTTGATTTATTCCCCCTGGCTTTCTCACACTCTGCTCTTCTGGTTCCCAACCCTAACTTAAACCCCAGGGCTCAAAGTGCTTCTCTTTCAAGTCGGGAAAGGCAGAATTGGGGTTTACACAGGTCTCATCGGTACCAAAACAGGGTCAGGGTATTTTTTAATGTGTTTAATCCAACACCTAGGACCCCATATCTGTCTTTGGTGCAAGTATCTCTAATTCTCACGACAGGGGACCTAGACAAACACACACAAAGATCATTTGTAGTAAAATACTTTAATTGGATGGGGGAGGTTAGGTTGTTGCCTGTATAAAACACTTGACCCATTTTATGCATGGAAATAACATTCCACTGTGAAAAATGAAGAGAAATGTCCCAGTTTTGCACCGTAGAGCTTCAGCTCAGCTCAGGAGGACTTTGTGATTTTTATTTTATTTTTAAGCTCCCCCTGCCCCCTTCGCACGCACTCTTGAAGAGGAGCCAGGTTTGGCTCTGTATGTAAACACCTGGAAGAGGTCCAAGAGGAACTCACTTGGAGTATCCTCTGCACACCACAGCCTCCCAGACCTGCAGCAAGCTTAGGGAGAGATTACGCTTCCCTCAATGAGGAAATCAAGGGTTCTGGCTGCCAAAACTCTTGGCTTTCACATTCTCACTGTTTTGGGATGTGACAGACTGAGGAGATCAGTTCTGCTGTTCCATTTGCATCTGTAGGACCCCACTGAAATCAAGAGCCCATCTGGGTGTTTGGAGGGGAAGGGACTGGGGCACATTTGCTGGCAGTGCCAGAAGTGAATTTCTCCCCAACTTTCGTCCCAGTTGCAAAGTGGGAATCTGTGTGGCTGTACAGATCTGAGGGAAGGGCTTGGATTGACTGGAATGCACCTCTTTTTCAGAGCTGCTCTTGTGTCTTCCCCTATTTTCTGCCCCCCACTTTCTGCCCGTGATGACTGTTCCCGTTGCACCACTCTCTGCTGGCATGTAAGAAATTACTGCAAGCGGTTCAGGAGCAGTCCCCTGTGTGCCTATAGGGGAAACCTGTTGTGTCTGTTAAAAATCTCATGTAGGACCCAAGTTGTTATCAGCTCCTGCGCTTGAGCCCTGACATAACGGAGTTCTTCTGCTAATCCAGGCTGCAGGAGTTTCTGTCTGGAGCCAACTCTCCTTACGTCACCCTCTGCTGCAGTATTCAATTTGTTTTCATAAATGGCTAATTTTACAGCGCTGTTAAGTGGGTTCGTCATTGTGCCGGGCCATGCCCTGTGTCTGATGAGAGGCAGTCCTGGTGCCAGGCTCTGCCAATTTTCACGCTGCTTGGCAGCGATGTTATTGCCGCCCTGTTTGACTCCACTGATATCTGCTCTGGCATTTGTCAGAGGGAAAGCTGTTGGGAAAGTGGAAGTCTGACCCATTGATCTGCGTTACGCAAAAGCTCAGGAGCCCTGTCGGGGCTGGGCTGCGCTCCTCGGAGCGGCTCCCGCGGTGCGGCTCCCGGAGCAGCTCCCGGCTCCTGCGCACTCCCCCTCCCTCCCTCCATCCCTCCCTCCATCCCTCCCTCCCGGGCCGCAGAGTTCTCGGACAAACCCTGCTGGGATGTGCGCACCTAGCCCGCAGCTCAGCACATCCCTCTTGTAAACACGCACATGTGCACATGGAGTCACTCCTCGCCTTCGGGCACCTTCCCCGCGCAGCCTGTGGATGCTGGGGCAGGAAAGGGTTAAGGTGGGGCTGTGCTGGGTTAGGTAATGCACACACACCATGCGAAATGAGGGGCTTCAAAGCGCTGCTGACCTTGCTGCTGTTGTAATCAAAAGATGTTTCTGTTCCACTGTGAAAACTCAAGCCCATCCTAAGAAACGGGATCCTCCCGAGTCCCTGTCAGGCTGTTTTCTGGGGTGTGGGGTGGCTCATGTTTTCACACGAGCGAGATGTTGACTCTTTACTGGCTGGGAGCTGAGAGCAGTGGGATGAATGATCGGCAGCGGGAGCCGGAGTAAGAAGGCGTGCCTGCTCTGAAGAGTGAAAGTTTTTTTTTCGTTTTGTTTTGTTTTTGTTGTGTTGTTTTTCTCCCCCCACTTCTTGGTTTCATTCCCCTCCGTCTCTCTATTCCTCAGCCTGCCAACAGGGAGCATGATCCCAACTTAATAAAGCTTCATATGTAAGGGAGTGCCTATGTTTTCCCAACTTCAGTCCTTGATGAACATAAAACTGCAGCAGAATCCAAAGGGAAAGAAAAGCCAAAATCAGCATGGTGGAGCTCACTTAAAGCCACAGCTTTTGCATGTAAGGGACTGAGAAACATCTGTGTCAGGGTCCAATAATTAGGCAATTATAAAGGTATGTAATTGACACTGCATAGGTCTAGTCCCTTGCAGAGTTAGAAAATACATGTTTGCTTTGGGGAGTTGTTTCCTTCTGAAGTTTTGGACTCTGATATTGATTTAATACACTTCAAGTAGAATTGGTGAGCTGAGTCCTATCTCCAGAGCTGATCCTCATGCTGGGTGTGCTGGGAACTTGAGGATGTTTTCAATAGAGAGTTTACTCAGAGTTTCATTGGAGTTAAAACAATAAGCAGGTAGATAACATGGCATTTTCAACAGCCTGTTGTCTTTCAATTGTATTAACTTTCTAGTTGTGTTCTGTAATGAAGACCTACAATGAAGGAGAAGTCAAAAATAAAACTTGTAGTTCTGTTGTTTAATTCGTGCTGGCATGTGCAAGGTCCCAGGGTGCTGGCCGTGGTGGGCAGAGTGGAGTGACAGGAGCTGGAACACCTGCACAGATGTTCCTGCAAGGTGACAAATCTCTGAAACACCATTGCTCAGGGGTGGGGGAAGCTGTGTGGGTTTGGCTTCCCTGTGGATGGGTTCAAATGATTATCCACTTCATGACTATGGATCTGGACATGGCTTGACTCATAGGTCACTGAACAAAATACCCTCACAGCTTGTCATTTACTAAATATTTGCATTTGAACAGCATATTTCCTTCAGCCTGTGGAAGCTGGGACAAAAATCAGAAACTGGTTTTTCTTTCTATAACATTTCCAATTTAGTCTGACCAGCTACACTCTAGAGTCAGAACAGCACAATTAGAAGAAAGCTGTTTGT